ATTAGGTCATTGGGTCAAGTGAGCTGTCATACTATTTTTTCTTATCCTGGAAAATTAAACTCAGAGGAAGTGGAACAAGATGCCTCTCTCTGTTTCTTCTGTTCTTTTTTCATCTGGCTGTTCTTCTGTGCACATGTTAATTATTGCTGCTGTTACTAAGGTGAAATATTTGCATGACTCTTTCACTCACGAGGTACTCATATATTATGTCTGGTCACTTTGACATATTATGCTCACACTATTCTCAGAGATAATGAAATCAATGCTCAATCTATGTTTTCACATCCAATGTATGTTTTCCAACTATATATACATATACAGTACCTATGTATGTGGGTATATATATGTACACACATATATTTATATAAATATATATTTTATATGTACATACAGTATATGCTGTATATATATGGTGACAAGAACATTTCCCGATTAATCCAAGTATTTGCTTGAAAACAGCTCAGATATGAATATGTTAAAAAGGTAATGTTTTTGAAGTAAAGCTAGTTTCCAATTAATGTATCTACTGAAGTATGTTCTATATCCTATCAATAATCAGAACATTTCTGAGTCTGACTCGTTCTCCACGTGCAGTTTGCCGCCACTGCATCAACAAATCAGTGAAGGAATGTTCTGAACACGTTCACTCAGCTCAGGCCCTGCAGGTTTTCACTTCTGTCTTAGTCGTACTTGAATGTCTTTCAGTTTGATGTCATCATTTACCTGATTCTCCACAGAAATAAATAATACATACTGAATATAAACAAATATATTCACCTCAGTAGAGAGAGCAGCAGCTGTGGGTTTCTTTCCTTTGAGTCTTTTTGTCTTTCAGCTCAGTAGTTAAAACAAAGTTCAAGTTCACACAGGTATAAATCCACTCAGCAGTAAAAATTAATTTGTTAAAAAAAAAAATCACAAATTCCAAAAACAAAAAGATTAAAACTTTGTCTGCAGCAAACCACTGTGTTGACTTTCTGTCAGAGCAGAAAACACACTGAAGAAGACCATGTGGGAAATGGTGACTGACTGATGAGGAGTGTGTGTGTGTGTGTGTGTGTGTGTGTGTGTGTGTGACCTGCTTCTGAAGGGGGTGTTGGGGCAGGGGAGGGGTGACAACAGTTGGGGAGGCTATTTTAGGATGAATCTCACTCACCCTCCCACTCTCACTTGCCCAGACCAGACCTCGACATACACAAAAACTCACACAAAAACACACACACACACACAGACAAATACACACACACATTCCTGATCCCAATATTCCATGTCTCCGGTGCTACAGGTAACACAGCAGCTCCACACCAGACAAACTCACACTCTGAGGAAATGATGTGTATATTTTGTTTTACTGATTTCAGTGTTACGGATTGTCTTTTGGAAAACTGACGTCGCCCCCTAGTGGCTAACTGAAATTGTCTTTTGCAAAACTGACGTCGCCCCCTAGTGGTAAATCCTGGATACCGGTTCCTCTCTGACATACACAGCTGCAGCAGTTGTCAGTTTAGACAGCTGTTAAAAGGTCAAAGGTCAGATACACTGACAATAGGTTGGATATAATTTCCTGGAAAAGAATAAAGTGTCCATGACAGTGATGTCATGAATTAAAAATATGAATTTAAATGAGTCATAATTATTTGAATGGACATGCACTTGTTATTTAAGGGTTACTTTTCTCTTTATCAGCTAGCTGAGCCTGAATTGTATTGTCTTTTATTCTTCTTATGTTTTATTTTCTCTTCTCCAACATTTTATCAAATATGTTTTTTCCATCCCCATTCCTTCCCATCTCATGTATCAATTCCTATCTACTGTCTCTGCTTTATATTCTCTCTCCAGTCCTTCCTTCCTTCCTTTCCCTGTGCTCTGCCTCTCTATGCATTTTTCTCTAAATTCCTTCATGCATTCCTCTTTTGTACTGAGCCCTAAAGAACCTCCTCACCGACTTTAATGAACTTCTGTCTCTTCCAAGCCGAAGTCCATAGAGAAAAATAATGGTTTTGCATCACCGTTTGTCCACTGTTGTCAAGACATCAGTTTGTCCAAAAGTCTTATCTTGTCACGTTGCTGTTTGAAGTGTTTTAGTCAGATTCACTCAGTGACACACTTTGACCACCTCCCGTTGTTCTCCTGTTGAGAACGACTCTAACAGCGAGATAAAGCAGTAAAAGCTGTTTACACATTGTATTTTCAGTCTTTGTTTGAGAGGCCAGAATCTGTTTTCCTCATGTGCCCCCTTAATGATCACATTGTATTTCCAGTCCAGAATCTGTTTTCCTCATGTGCCCCCCGGCAGCTGGGTTTTTACCCAGAGCAAAGTCCATCAGCGACTACATATGGAAATGAGGGGAAAAAGAAGACAAAAAAGGAAAAGGAAAAATAGAGAAAACTTAAATTATCTGTGTTGCTAGAACTGTGTGTCAGTATAGAGAAAACTTAAATGATCTGTGTTGCTAGAACTGTGTGTCAGTGTGTGTGGGTTTGTATGCCATTCTCAGCATTCAGCTGCAGGCAGTCTGCGTTTCAGTGTGTATGTGTGTGTGTGTGCGTGTGTGTGTGTGCGTGTAGCAGCTGCATGGAAAATGTCCTGAGGCTGCTCTGAGAGGGAGCGGCTGCACACACACACACACACACACAGAGGTTACAGTGTTACAGTGACTCGGTGACAAGGTCAGGTTATAGAAAAAAGCCCTGCGGGCAAACACATGATAAATGTGATTTAGAGAAACAGTAGGACGACAGAGGAGAGGTGAGGATGAAGTAGAAACAAAGCTGAAAAGGAGAGGATGAAGGGAGAGAGGAGAAGAGACAGACACAGATTGACCACAGACATTAGTATTTTTACTCAACCAGTTCGATGATGATCTGCACACATATTCTTCTAGAACACATCTGTAATTAAGCTAAATAAAAGACTCTGTGAAAGTCTGGCCAATCAAATGGGTTGGTTTTATGGTTAAATAAAATATGAGTCCAAAAAGAATGTCTTCATCTCAGACCACATGTTTGAAAAAGTAATAATTATTTTTAACTTAGATTGCTAATGTTAAGTAATGTTAATGTTAATGTTAATGTTAAGTTCTAGAGATTTTAAAAGATAGACAAAACTTTGTGACTGATATTGGTGTATAAGGTCATTAAAATAAATTAGTGAATCAATTAGAATGAATAAATAAATGAAGTAAATTTCTTTTATTTGCTTTTTTTTTTACAGTTCATATTTTCTACTGCGCTTTTCTTTTAATGGGTTGATTGTAATGCTGCGCATTAACCACAAGATGGAGCAGTCAGTCAGAAAAAGACCGTCATCGACCTGCTCTACAGTTGAATGACGTTAATAAGAGTTTAGAGATCAAATCTACAATAATATGAGCGTTAATGATCAGTTATCTGATCAGTTGTCTTCTTTTACCAAACACTGGATACTGAACATGGAAAACTTAAATCTCTAATTAAATCGAGTGACTGAGAAAGAGAAGAGATTGCTAGATTTTAATTGTTTGTGTTTGGCCAAATTCGCAAGAACATTCATTTTCATGAGCTTTTTGTTTTTTAGCAGTTCTTTATTTTAAGGTTAAACAAAACTATAATGTTTCCTCGTTAGAAGAATAGCGTTACTTCACCACCACAGGGGGGCAGCAGAATGTTCAAAAACACATTTTGGTATTAACATTTTAGGTAGTTTTTCTGGCACAGATGAATCTCAACCCTCAGCTTGTTAATGCTGCAGTTATTAGAGTACTCACGGGGAGAAAAAAAAGAATGGGGAGAAAAATCTAAATGTGAAGAAGAAAGTAAAAGTAAACAGGTGCATAAATCTTCCTCTCCTGGTAAAGTCCAAGTACTTTTCAAGCACTTGACCTTAAAGGTGTTAACGCTCTCCTTTGATACCCTTTTCTGCCTTGTTGTAGTGATGATGAAGACGTTTTGTTAAACTGAGCTGACAGACAGACATCAGGATGACATCAGACAGCCACAACACAATGCTGGGATTGTTATACCGACTGACACACACACACAAACACACACACACCGGCATGGGTAACCAACAGTGAGAAGATGTTCAGGGACGACTGCTTCCATGTTATATTGGTAAAGAGACAAATGTGGGAGGAAGAAGAGAGAAGGGGGAGGAGTTAGAGGAGATGGAAGGAAAGTGAAAGAAAAGAGGAAAAAAGAGATTAGAGAGGAAGAGAAAGAAAGACAGGAAATGATGCTGTTGAGGAAAACAATGACGTAAAGGAAGGAAGAAGGATGAATACAGCAGATGGAGAGGGACAAAGAGGGACAATTAAGACTGTCCAAATCAGTGGAGAAGGATTAAATGAGTGATACACGTAAGGAAAGTTTGAGACTAAACATCACATGCCCGTCTGAATGATGTGGGTCAGAGCTCACCTTCAGCTGGACCAGGTGGACATCCACGTGTCTGTTGTCACTGTCCTGTGCAGCAGAGTGTGTGAGCTGAGTCACTCTCTCACTGGTGGACCTCAGCCACTTTTCGATCTCCGGCAGGTGGAGGACCACCTTCCAGTCAGCCCCGGTGTGAAGGGGGGGAGGTTTCTTTGACCTGCGTCCACACACAGTCTGGAATGAACTAATCTGAATCTCAATCTAGGAGTAAGAGTGTTCTGGAACAGTCATTTACCCACACCAAAGTCCAAAGACAAAATCAGAGTTTTGTACACAGGGACTCAGGGGCTGCTGGTCCACTGCTGCCTCCTGTGGTCAGTTTGGGTCACTGTGCTTTATCTGAACAAAGAATTTCAGCCAGTAAAAAACTAATAGAATAACCAGCTGATGGAGGCAGCAGTTGATCAAAAACCCTGCATCCCATATTGTAAAATCACATTTTTTTTCTATGGTCTTTGGTATGAAAAGGCTTGGGCAAACTTTGTGACCTGGGGCCACAATTGTCCTAAAATTGAACAGGGGGGCCCGGTCAGGAGCAGACAGATGGAGCATTCATGTGAACTAAGATAAATGATAAGTGTAAAAGTCATGCATAAAGGCAAAAATGCTTTTATCATTTTCTACACCATCTATTGGGGAAATGTGGGTATTGCAGGGAAAAGGCAGAAGGATAATGATAATATAAATAAATTATATAATTTGGAAAAGTTTGGCAGGCCGGACTAAAAAGCTGAACGGGCCACATCAGGCCCCCTGGCCGTAGTTTACCCGTGCCTGGTGTAATCTGTTAAATAATCTGCTGTAGATGAGGTCATTACCTGCTGGAAGGGTCTTGAACCAAATGGGTTCCAGCTCCTGGGCCAGGTGAGGAGGTCCCCTCCTGGAACTGATGGTCCATATCCTGGTCCAGGGTCGGGGTGACGGGCGTGACCGAGGTCAGCATTGGTGAGGGAGGTTCAGGGAGCACGGGTGAGAGGGCTACGATGCTCATTGTGTGACAGAGAGGACTGAGAAGAGGGGAGGAATCTCACTGTTGATGGGCGAGTTTCATTGACGTGAACTAGAGAGAGAAAGTGTGAGGGAGAAAATGCAGATGTCATCATGTTGTATTAGAGGACAGAAATGACACCATCAGCTTAGGTTTGACATTATAAGTTAAGCGAGAAAAGACCTTTGATTGCCTATAGATTTCCATTTAAACCTGCAGTGTCGCCCCCTGGAGGCTCAGTCCTAAAATCCTACTTCCTGGGTTTCGTCTCTTTTTTAAAAAATACATTCTTTGTTACAGACACGTGTAGAATGACAAAGATATCCATCACAAGTATACAGATATATGAAAGTGTGTGTATAAGAGCTCCATTGTCGGGACAGAAGGAAAGATGAGATGGAAATCAATGCACTGGAAGAAATTGCTACTGTGGCTGCGGCTGCTGCTGTTGCTGCTGCTGCTGCTGCTGCGGAGGGTAAAACACATGCACACAGGGCACTGTAAGAAATATTCAGTCCAAATCATGAAATCATTTTTGTTCTGCTCTAATAACCCAAATAAGTCATGGAAATGTTCCATCTTTCTGTAAAGCCTTTATAAGATACATATGGGATTGTTGGGTGGGTGTTTGTGTTTTTGTCCTTTGGTTACTGTACAACAGCATGAACATGTTTGCAGAATTTAGAGATTGGGTTTGGTCACATCTCCACTGGCTGACTCGCAGACCTGTTAAAAATAGAAACAAAATAAAACACAAGCGTTAGAATGCTAAAAGAATCCATGACTTAACTGTAAACATTATTTGTTCATCTGTATTTCAGCACCAACGTGAAGGAACAGCTCCCGAGAAAAGAAAAATGTGGATGCAGTGACAGAGACACACGAACACACACAGAGGTTCACACAGGTTGTTATAGTTCTTCATCCTCTGAGAGACATTTTGGGAGAAACATCAGGTGATGCAACAATGTTATGACTTTCCATCACTGACAGCCTTTACACTTCAGTAAACACGGGGCTAAAATGGGGCTGGGTTTCATTTTGGAGGTAGCAAATGTCAAATCTCCATCTCTCACTAAGAACAGAAACAAAGAAATTTCATGAAACCTACCAGGAAACCAGGTGTAGATTAGAGAAGATACAGTTCAGCATTTCACTGATCATCCTTCAGTGAACAGACAGTCTGGCTGTAACTCCTGTTAATGCTGTATACACACAGAAAAATCCAACACAATTCATACAACACTGGGTCTGTAGACCATATTTTCCCCTCTTCTCTTTCTGTCTGGTTCTCCTGCAGGAACCTCTGTTACTGAACATATTCTGGGTGTCACTGCATTGTGCACTCACACACACAGAGTTAGAAATAACTATGGTCCTCACACACACAGCTCTATACCCAGCAGCAGCAGCAGCAGCAGCAGCAGCAGCAGTGTGATACAGTGCAGTCCTGTGTGTTTGTAGCCTCTGCATTGATTACTATCAGATTAGCCTCAAGCCTATTTTCTGCTAACGTCACTGCCCACAGACTCCCAGTGCTGCCTAACGCTGGCATTGTTGTTTAGCAATATGTCCATGAGGGGCAGTGCTCCTCGGAGCCAGCTGAGCTGGCTCCACATTGCTGAGGACAGTTGGTGGACAGAAGACAGAGAATATTGCAGTTTGTCCAAGTTAAAATGTCATTGAGACAAAATGCACACAAATACTTCTGATGTCAAACTAGTCTCATCTCTGAATCACAGAACCACTGACTGGACTCTGCCTGATGAAAGCACTTCCTGTCTTGGAGAGAAGCACAAGGGCGAGGTCAGTGTGAGAGAATGGTGTGACCTCATCGTCCATCATGTGACCACAATGAGAGGAAAGAGTTCAGAGAAAAGGCAGGAAAGGAGAGAAACCACAGACGCTCGTCAGTGACAGTCATCACATCCTTTAATAATCTAAGAATAATCCAGTGACCTGGTTTCAGCAGTTCTCCTCACAGACTTTTGTCCTTACTGGTTCTTGTCTTTTTGTTGATCAGGTATCATTTTAATCAGGACAAAACAAGGTTGGACCAGTTGAGAAACCAACAAGTTAAAAATTAGAGCCTAGAAAATGTAACAAACAGTTGACTTGAACAATTTACCTGGGATTACATAATCTGAGTTAATCTACTGTACTCTGGTGCTCTTTAAAATATTCCCTAATTTTTAATAGCATGTTTCTGCAGCAGTGAAACCTCAACAATGTATGAAAGCTTAACTAGAAGTAGTAATTATAACATGTGAGTATAAAAGTTCATTGTTAAAAATCATGACCTCAGGGGGCGCTGTCAACATCATTCTCATAAGTGGAGGTTGATCTGCTGATGCAACACCAACTAACAATAGAGGTTAAATAATCACCATTATGTCATTCACCACAGCCACTCACACTCACTCTCACACACATACACACAAACCTAGCCATGTTGTAATGACTTGTTTAGACAGTAAATGGGTCATTCCTGCAGAGGTGTTCACAGGCTGAACATGTGGATTTGATCTCTCTCTCTCTCTCTCTCTCCATTTAAACAAATATTTATATAAACATTTCTTTAGGTCAATCAAAGAAATTGTTTATATATTTTATATTATTATCACTGTTATTTTATTAATATTTTATTTATTATCAAATTCTAAAATCAAAGTTTATTGTATGTGTTATTTTATTTCAGGGTAACATATCTATCCATCTAAAAGAAAACCTCATCAGGGTCAGCAGCTTCTCAGTCTGATCCAACATCACGTCGTCTGACCTCTGACAGAACCTGAGGTTTAATCTGGTTCTGACTCGTGTTTGTTTTCATTCCAGGATTAAAGATGAGATTAAAAACACATTTAGAGGTTTTTATGTAATGACAGCAGCTGCTGCAGAATCTGCTGAATCATCTGAGCTCACACAAAGAAAGTTACCTCGGTACTCCTCAACACATCAACAACGGGTTTGATCACAGAGGCACGGAAGAAGACGCCATGAGAAAACATTTGACAGGCACAAAGGGGGCGCTCTTTACAGTCATCTCCTCATCAAACTCATCAGTGTTGTGTACAATACCATCTGTACTGATTATATAAGACACAACAATCACCACACTGTCACCATTGTGCCCTGGACCACACTGCTGTAGCAGCAGAGCGACTGTTCATTACATTGAAAACAACAACACTTGATGTATGCTCTAACACCAACCATCCCCCAGACTCCTCAAGGATCAATCCATTAGTTCTGATACTGATTCTAGTGCTGCAGGTAATGACACTGCCAGGATTTTTTTCTTTATGTCTGTTTAAATGATGTGACGCTAAAGTCATGTTCACAGTCACTTTGACATTTTTCAAACATAAACTAACTGATTGGTTGTCACATGAAAAGTCCAAACTACTAGTACAGGAGTTCCTCCATATACGTTGAAGTTCCGTTCCTAGGACGCACCGTAACTCGATTTTTGCTGAGTTCATTCACATACTGTACATCAGTGCCTGTCACTCACCTATGCTAACACAGTAGCAACATCATAATCTAAAACATAAAAACATCAGGGGAGTCTGACTGACACCTGGGAGCTAAAATGAAGAAAAGCAAATGTAGCACAATCTAATGTCTGAAGTTCAACCACCAAATGTAAACAACGCTGTCATCCGCGCTGCTCGCCAATTAGTTCCTGTGTGAACTACTTGGCACGAGACTCTTATTAAATTTAAGAGAGATGGTGACGTAACCTCGTCGAGTAAATGTCAAAGTGTCAAAACTCAAATGTGCAGCAACATCATTTGACCTAGACACATATTTACATTCAGGTCATTGTTATATGAGTGATCTATTGGTTTTACAGTAAATATAATCCATAGATCTTCTCAGCTGAACTAAAGCCTAAAATAATTCATCACATGTTTTAAAATAAAGTCCCCACTGCCAGAGTTCAGTATGAGGAAACATTTGTTTTAAATGTAGATCTGAAACTGAGGAGTAAAATATTAAAAACTGACTCATGTGACAGTGACAATGTGGCTCTCTTCTCATGGAGCTAACAGGCCACGCCCTTAGCCCTCAGTCCACCAGCAGACAGGCAAATGAGGCTGATCTCAGGTCAGCTTTAAATCATTTACAAAAGAAAAATAGAAAGTGCTGAGAGAAACATTTAGAAAACAGAGCAAGGGAGGAGGAAGAAGAGGAGAAGGGCAAAGAGGAGGAGAGGGAGGTTTTCTGCAGAGATTTTAAGAAAAACAGCAGAGATCGAAAAAGGCCAGTGAGACGACTGCAGTGTCTCAGAGAGTGTGTGTGTGTGTGTCCCCTGAGCTCCTGGTGTTCAACCTCAGGTATGAATAATGCATCCTGATGGAGGACGATGTGCAGGAGAACCTCTGGGTCCTGGTCCTTGATTTTTCAGTCTGTCTGTGTCTCATGTTTCTGATGATGTTTCAGATGTGGAACAGGAGGAAAGAAAATCATGCTGCTGCTGTTTCAGCATCAGCATCACTCCTGCCGCTGCTGCTCAACGAACAACAGGAAGTAAATGGGAGTGGGACATAAGTGGGAGAAGCACCTGATAAGTGGATTAAATCAGACTGTGTCCAGTCCTGGTTCAAAGAGAGGAGAGGAGGGAGGAGGAGAGACAGTGATGGAGCAGCAGCAGGTCTAAAGTCAACATTAAACTATCTTTTGTTTTCTTTTACTTATTGATTCTTTAAATTTCCCTCCATTTGCTTTTAATCACTTTTTCCTGGATCACAGGGGAGCTGGAGCCAATCACAGCATCGCCCTGGACAGTTTGTCACAGCATCACATATAAGAATAGAGAAAAACATTTACACTCACATGGACAAGAAGTCCATACACCTGGAAGCCATGATGAAGGGCAGAGAACAACCCAAACAAATGAATGTAGCACATCAGCGTGATGATGTATTTGTCTGCTACGATCGCTAGTTCCTGTGTGAAGTTTGTTTTTACAACATACGTTGGATTGATGGAACAAGACTTTCTTTATAAGTTTATTAGAGATGGTGACATGACCACGATACAGCCTTTGTGATTAAATCCTACTCTGTAGTTTATATAGTTTATGGCTCTTTGGCAGGAGGACTACCAATAGAAATGAGCCTTTTGGCTACAATTGGATGCATTTACATTTTATCTTTAAATGTTCATTAGTGTACATTATCCCTGTATAACAGATAAAAGATAAATAAATAAATAAGACTCCTTCCTTTAAAACTGCACATCTTCATCCTAGGATTCCTAGAGTCTAATCCCTCAACTCCAATGACGTCTACATCTCAAACCTAAAATCCCACTGTTACAGTGAGCTTAGAGAGTCAAGGAAACAAATCATGTATTTATGAATTTTAGACCTTTTCTCTTTCTCCAGCACATAAAAATAATCCAAGTAAGCAGGTATTAAACAGACAAGTAGATTCAAATCAACACCCTGTCATATATATTTAATTTTCACTATAAAAAGATAATTTATTATCATCAGTAAAACTGCACACATTAGGACCTCTAATATGTTGGTCTAAAATGACACAGGAGTGAGTTTCTGAGCTGCTGACAGAAACAAGAGGAGTACATGTTCACTGCCACACCCTGAGGTCTGAGCAAACATTACTGATCCACAGCAGAGGAGGAGGAGAAGAAGCAGCGTCATCCGTCAGAGGACAGAAGAGTAGTGTAACAGAGAGAGGAGGTGTAACAAGGAGAAAAGGAGAAAGAAGGTCCAGGGTTATACATTTGTCAGAGAACACGGAGTTAGGACAGTCACCTGACCCTGGAGGAAAAATCAAGAAAATCTTCACATCAGAGCAAAGTCTGGCCTCAGATGATCTTCACCAACACATCTGTCTGTGTATCATTGAGTATCACTGAATACCAGCAGTGTATTTACACCTCAGTACTACACACTTCATAATGCACTGACGACCACTGTAGTACACAACCAGTAAAAATGTCAACAAACACACTTTAACTGTAATTAAATATGTGTGTGTGTTCTTTTTAGGGGGAGACACCTGACACTAGAGCTCCAAATATCTCCGTAGGTCCAGCATGTTCTATCTCTTTTAGCTGCTTCTTCTCCTCCTCTGGAGTTTTCAAACACCCAGGGATGAAAGCAGAGGAACAAGGCTACAGTCAGAGCCCAGTTTTGAAGTTAGTTATCAGATTTGAGGAGCTGTCATGATGACTCTGGTTCCTTTTGGATGTTCCAGCTGTGAATCAGCTGTTTCCTGTCAGGCCTCATTTGCTTTCTTTTATACAGACTGATCATCACTAACAATCACGTTACATGTTGACCTGAAGATGACCTTCATGGACTCCTTAAAAACAACCCTAGCATTACAATGAAGTTAAAGTTAATTTTCCCATAGACAACTGGAGAGATATGTCCTACGTCCAGACTGAACAGACTTACATTACTGAGCTGGAGGAGGAGGAGACAGGGAGCATAAGAAAGGTAAACATATTCAGATCCAGCTGGTCTGAAATCATCACGTCCACCCCTACAACACACATTGGCCTCTACAGTCTGTTCTATACTGTGTCCACATCATAGGTCTAATGCATGGACAGAATGCTGTGACCTGTATATCCAATAATTCCAATATCCATCCACTCATCGTTGCTCCACAGAGTCCATACACCTGTTGTCTTTTATCAACACTGTGGGCAAAAGTATTAGTTTCACCAAAGCTTCAGATACCATCTCCACTCCCAGCATGCATTATGTCAGACCAGCCTCACAGAGCACAGGACAGTAAACAAGTCTAAGACTGACAGGCTGACTTGGACTGTGAGGAACTATAGACTGAGTAATATTGTTGAGGACAATGGCTTCACCGAACTTTTGAAAGTTGAAACTCTCAACGTAACTTTTACATTTCTCAATAATAATTTAATCATTAATTAGTTATGAATAAAAACAGACATTTCTCCATAATAATTTCATCATTAATTAGTTATGAATAAAAACAGGTCTGAAACACATCCACACACACTTGCTACTTCACCTGCTGTTACTTCTACATGAGAACTGAATATAATCAGCCTATAATGATTCCCAGCTCTGAACATCAGTAGGTGGACAGCTGATGTGTCTTCATTCTGCTTTTAAACGACTCAATCAGCAAACATTTAGGTTGGTTTTAACTTTTTCCTTTGTAGACTGAAACATGAAGAACCAGGAACCAGAGGTTCTCCAGCACATCGTCCTCCATCAGGATGGGTAAACTGCAGTGGTCAAATGACAAGTAATTCACAATTCTTCCTTCTTGAAAACCACTTCTGACCTATCAAAAAAATGCACATTGATTTTGTGACACAATCATGGTGGAGAAACATGGCAGACATTCTGTTTGTTTACTTGTGTGTGTTTGGAGAGTGACAGAAGTGAGACTAAATAAAGAAATCAGCAGTTAGTTGTTGAATAAATTCACCTGCTGCAAAATCACCTCCTTGAGTGTAAGTGTGTGTGTGTGTGTGGTTACTGAGCCCCAGTCTCCAGAGAGGACCCTGAACTCAGATCTTCATCCTACAGTTCCTCTCACACACTCACACTGTGGGAGAATTATTCAGGGGGGGATGGTGGAGATGGTGAGCACTCACCAACACACACACACACACACACACACACACACACACACAGTACTATTGTATGATGACAGATATTGGGGCCCCTCTCTCCCTCTCTCTCCCTCAGCTCATATTCATTCAGGGGCCACCAACATGAGGCTTCTACAAACATGTTGAAGAATACACACATTAAACAGTCAATGCTCCACTGTTGAAAAGAAGGGTTCCTATAGTAGGAGGCGTGGAGCTGTGAGTTAAAAATAAAGTTCAGGGGATTTGAAGATAAAACCATTGAACTTGTAGGAGGGGGTGGGCATCTCCAAATGTGGGGTTCACCAATTCTTTCCATTCTTCTTCTTGTTAATGAACCAGTTTAATGTTCAGTTCAAATGATCAACTAACAAAGCAGACTCTTGTGAGGACACGTCAATGAGATGAATTTGCAGAATCTATTGTCATACATTCTGCAAATCATCTCATCTCAACCTGAACGACAGACAGATGTAAGAACACTCAGTCCTGAGTCAACGGGACTGGAAACAAAAAGGTGATTGGTTGGCGGTCATGTGACAGCGGCCTCATTTTAAAGTTTTATAAACACAGAGATCCTGTAACAACAAACGATGACTCAGCAAAATGAATCTGATCATGAAGAGGCCAGTCAGGATGTGACGCCACTGTGATGACATCAAACCATTACATGAGGACATAAGACATCATCATGGTTCATCCTTTCTGTTCTTCTAGATCAGTGAACTTGCTGAGGTCAGGTCATCAATACTCCCAGAATAACACTGATCACAGGTCTGTTAGAGACTGACACTCACACACTACATCGCTCTCTGCTGTTATAACACCAAAGATCAAAACATAAACAACATCTAAAGTCAGTAATCTGTAGACACTGACAGGTGAGCAAATGAAACACACCCTCGCCCTCACCCACACACACGGCTGAGGTGGTGTTTTACCAATCCATTGTTTTTGCTTTGTTCCACTACAGATCTGTGACCACAGTGGCCTTTAAACACTAGTTTACTACTTTTTATTTGTATTTCCACTTCAGTGCATTTAAGCCAAAAAGTTCAACTCCATTCATTTGAGCTTTCTGTACAACAACTCTCCTTACTGAACTAGTTTGTACCCGAAAACATCAGTTTTTACGTCAATGGAAAAAAAAAATAATAATATGAGACAATAGAAAAACATCAGTTTTCTCTGTTTTTACGTCAATGGAAAAAAAAATAATAATATGAGACAATAGTGACAAACTGAGCAGAGATCAGGGATGGAGGAAACAATGAGGGGAAGAAGGTGAGCAGCAGCAGCAGCAGCAGCAGCAGCAGCAGCAGCAGAGAGGTGTTGGCCCTGATTCTGTCTGCAGCAGAGAGAGAGAGGAAGAGAGAGAGACTGGGAGTCAACCTCTCTCTCCCATCTCTCTTCTCCCTCCATCATTGTGGCAACATTTATCATCTGACAGCTCACTGAATCAACAATTCATGAAGGGTCAGACTGAAACACACACACACACACACACATACACTAACACACACTCGCACAAACAGAATCAGAGAGTCAAACTGCAGCAGTACGTACCACATCCCTCTCCTCTTCTTCTTCTTCTTCGTCTTCTTCCTGTTTTCTGTTGGATGCTAAGGATGCCGAGTGAGAGAGAGAGGAAGGGCGAGTGAGAGAGGGAGGGAGGTGCCTTGGAGTCTGACTGCAGAGAGAGAGCGAGTGACACAGGGAGAGAGACAGAGCTGCAGCGCTAACACGGAGAACGCTAAAGCTAAACTAGCCTCCAGCTCCCAGTGTGGGACAGCAGGAGCAGCAGCAAGGGGGGGGAGGAGGAGGAGGAGACGAGGAGGATGGATAGTGGTGATGATGATGCGGCACCTTTTAGGATAGAAACAGGGGAAAGGGAGGGGTGGGCTGTTACCTTGGAGACTGAGATGTGATGGAGAAGGTGGAGCTGTGCTCTGATTGGCTGACAGGGTGTGGTGCTTCCCTCAGTCGAGGAGGAGGGAAGGGGATGACAGAGCAGAGGATGATGGGAAGTTAGGAGCAGCCCCTCTCTCTCTCTCTCTCTCTCTCTCTCTGAAGGAGAAAACACTGCACAGGGATGACGGGAGACCAGTGACGCCTCAAACTGGTGATTCCTGGAAGTGCATTAAAAAAAAAGACCCATGTTCATACACATTATATCATGTTTCATGTCATATATAATCTATATTTTAATCTATATTATAATCTATATAATCTATATTATATTTTTATATTATTTTTTATATTATTTTTTATATATTATATATATATATTCTTAAACCACAAAATTATTTTTTAAATTTTGTATTCATAAATTAAGTATGTGATATGAAACTAGGTCAAATATTAAAATATAATTTAAATATTTCTTCTATGCAGTGTTTATATACAGTATCGGGTGAGAAAACTATAGTACATAACGTAACTATAATATTAAAATTTGTTGAACTCTGTTTTTGTTTGCTTCTGACTTTGTTGATTAGTTGGACTTGAATATTAGGAGTTTTAATCCAAATCCGATTCCAATTCCAATTAAAGTAAATAAAACGATAAATGTGTCAATTGTAATAAAGGTTTTCAAAATAACAAGAGATGCAACGCCACCTGCTGACCGGTCGAATTGCACCGTGTGAAAATATACCTAGGTAAGAGTCAAATAAATAAAATTACATTATTTTAAACATCTCTGTCCGTTGCAGGTAGAATTCACTAAAAAATAATGTAAAATAAAAATATAAAATTGCGGTCAGACTGTGATGCAGATTGGTTTTTTAAAACAGATGATGATTAAAGATTCGCTTTTTAACTAACGAGAGAGGAAAGGTGTAAGAGAGTTAGTTAACTGTCCGGGGTTTAATTTGTTTCTTTCTTCTTTTTTTTTTTTTTTTCGCTTTTTAACTAACGAGAGAGGAAAGGTGTAAGAGAGTTAGTTAACTGTCCGGGGTTTAATTTGTTATTTACTATGATACAGAGCAGAGTACACACACACACATTCACACACAGAGGCAAGAATATGTATGTAAACGTGAATAATGAGTCTCACTTGTTGTTTTTTAAGCACCATTTAACCCCGTTATTTATTTAATTTGTGTAATGTAGAATTATAAAATAGGCATGCTGCACTTCAACACAGACCACGAAGGTAAAAAGAAAACTTTAAAATATCACCAAGCATGTGTTATCGTTTAATTAGGTTCACATAAGCTTGAAAAGTCGATGTGTAAGAGTGGAACTGTTCAAAAATAAAAAATAAACTGTAACTAACTGTATAAACTGAAACATTTCTAACGGCTGTTAGCATTTGGACAAACAGTTATCACGAACGAACATTTAAAGAACCAACCTTAAATTCGGCGCAATTGTTAACGTAAAGTGTAGTTCAGAGATTCCCTGCAATTGGTTCACGTTTATGCTGAAATAAATTCGATAAAGTTTAATTAATAACGTTACGAACCAAACCTCAGAGTCAGCGTAGGAAACCGCTTCAGGTGTTCTGGTCATTTCAGTGACCAATCAGGTGTCAGCCAACCTCGTGGCAGCGACAACCAATCAGTTTTAAGATCAGAAAAGACTGAGGACTTCAAACGTTTCTCAGAATCAACTACCAACAATCATTACGTTGTATTTCTAAATCAAAGTAATGCTAAAACTCAAGCCAAACTCGGTTTAAAAATAATCTCATCATCTAGGTGATCTGGAAAAGGACACATTTGAATATGCTGCTTGCTTCCAACGACTTAACAGGGTGGTACATTCGGTGTCAGTGTGGCATTGAGGCAGCAGATGGCGCCCTTCACCTTCTCATCATTTGGCCGGCTACAGATTTTTACACAGGTTGACATCCTCAAAATCCTCTAACAGTTATAATGTAATACAAACGCTATGGAACTTTTTATATTTACTGTTTATTATATATACTACTTCCAAAAATGTATATATTTAACCTTGTTTCGCTGGGAAATATATGGAGAATGTTCACTTAAATTAAGGCGTGCATATCTTTAATATCAAAATAGTAACTACATTAAAATGCACTTCAGTAATTTCACCAATAATAGCAGTAAATAACTTAAACTTTACCCTTTAATGGAACAATTATTTATGACGTTGTGAAAAAAATATAGATATTTAAAATCTTTATATATTACAAGGCCCACTGTCATCACCTCAACCCCCCTAAGACCAATGTGATTAAAATAGAAAACATTAAAAACTTCAGGCACGCTTTGAAAAAGAAGATGTTTTATTTGGGAACATGATGGAAAAAAGATAAAGTTGATTTGTAGTTATTCTCATTTCTGAAAACCATTTTATTTACTATGATACAGAGCAGAGACAGTGGTGAAAAAGAGAAGGTGGTTTTTACACCAGAGTGACGGGATGACAACAGATCGTATCAACAATGATTGAAAATAAAAACAAGATACAAAGGAAACTACAGACAAACAGATTCATCTTTTTTTCTAGCAGCTGCTGAACTCAAACTCTCAACCCTCAGCTAACCCTATCGTCACCTTCTTCTTCTTTGCTCCAGCCCTGAACGTGAGAACGTTCTCGGCTCTACTTCCACTTCCAATCCTTGTCAGTCCTGTTATCACTTTATGTTTTGTTTATTTTAAACTTTATTTTAAAAACCCTTCTGGCCACAGGACATGTTGTGAATTCACACACCAAACAACTCATTCACGCCACACTTTCACATCCAGCAGGAAAATAACACCTGACTGGTGCAGAGCTCGTCCCATTCTAGAGTCATGTCCTCGTCTACACTGAACAACAACAGTGTCAGTGCTGATTTTATTAGTTACTTCTGTTAAATATTTTAAATTTCTCTCTTTTGGTAACAAGAAAAACTCCCACTCTTCATCTGCAGACGTTAGAGACCGTGGTTTCCCAACGATAACTATCACAGTAACTGGAGCTGCTTGAGTGTTTCAGGCTACGTTCACACTGCAGGTTGTGTTGCGACAATTATTTTACATCATAGTTAAAATATGAGTCCAATGTAAACAGAGTTCAACCCTGAAGTGACCCATACACACAGCACAGGGCGTGACATCACGCACTGTGGTCACAGAATTAAATATAGATGCTACACGTCAGATTCTACACGCCTGTGTGTCAATTTGGAAGTCGTTTTTCAAACACCGTCAGTCACCGTGATCCCTCTATCAACCAGCAGCTGATGCTGTCACAGACCGCTCGTCAGCTTTCGTCCCACCTTCAGGGGAGGAAACTCAGTGATGCCAGCTCTCCTGTCACCACCTCACAATCAGAATCTTGTTCTTTCCACTGACTGCTGCCTCTAAAGGTGGAAACACTTTGTGAACAACAAACATATCTGATTTAGAATCATCAGAAAATCAGCTACGGGTCACTTTAGTCTGCAGTGTGAAGGCAGTGTCACAGTGAAGCACCCCTGCTCCTCCACAGACAGACACACATTCAACAGTGGAACAAACCAGAGAAGCTGAAGGCAGCTGAATCCGTCTGACTGATGAGGACAGAGGACACGTCTAAAACTGGGACGACACTTCTGTTAGTGTTCGTTTTTGTCGACATCGTTTTAATCCACCATCACTAACAGAAACAGACTTCATCTCTACTCCAACTCCAAACCTGATTCATTTACACCAGCATCAGGACTGTTCACTGGTTGAACAGCACCAGTGTCACAGTGAAGGGGACTGTTTCAGATGATGTCTCCTCTCTGTACAGTACATGTAAATGCTCCTTTATACCAACTCTCACACACTCACTCACTCACTCACACACACACACACATTCACACACAGAGGCGTACAACCAGCAGAACCACAGAGAACCATGGTTTGACTTGTTACAGATGAGTCCAGTACCCCGTGGTATTTCACTTCAACAGCACCTGCTGCCGATGCTGCTGTTTTTATATATAAACTGTATATATATTCATATACACTTATTTTCCTCCGTTTAGGGAACATCTATTTGACATGTAAGCAAAAATATGATCATAAAAGTCGATCTGTTTCATGACAGAAATAAAGAAATGTAGAGAATGAAAATGTCTCTCTTTCCTTCTCCTGGAAATGTTGCCCTCAATGTGGAAAACTGCAACATCTGAAGAGGTTCAGCCTGTCTTTTTTATATATTTTTATATTTTGTTGTTTCTATCATTTTTGAAAATTCAAAAGTTCTTTTTTTTCTCCACTAAGTGGCAATAAACAGACATGCAGGTTTTTTTCGGTTTGAACAAACCGACAGGAGAAGGAAAAAAAATAACATGAGAAAGAGGCCTTCTCATCCTCCTCCTCATCCTCCTCCTTTTGCGAGCAGAGTGGATGTAGGTTATGTTGCGGCGCTAGTGGTTTCTTCGTTCATGTGCCATCCCTAAAGCGGGTGGGAGTGTGTTAGGGTGGAGAAGGGGCGTAGTCATTAGTCATTGCATCGGGGGTTAAAGGTTCTAACAGCTATAAGACTCTCAGAGATGTTGGTAAAAACATTTCTCCCACATTTGTCTGTCTTTTCCATCTTCTCCATAAATCTCTTCCCTCTTGAATCCCTCCTCCTCTCTACAGAGAAGGTACAAAAACTGGCTGTAAAACAGACCACAGATCAGTTCACGCATAGACCACACAGACACACAAACTCAGTCACTCTTTAACACACACCTGCACACACACAGTCGGACGATACAAAAAATATATATATAAAAACAGAAATGATAGCTAAACATGAACTAGACAGACAAAACGTGCATGTGCTGACATTACTGTGGGGTCAAAGTTCATTCAGGGGTCACTTTTCCTTTTAGTGTTTAAAATTAGCCTGCGGCCACCACAGCGTTCACACCTGAACCACACCACAGCCAGAAAATCAAAAAAAAAAAAAAAAAGAATATGCTCCACAGTTTCTTTCCGAGAGTACTGTCCTTATAATCCTCATGACGCTCCTCCTCACTCCTCCTTTTACTGATGAATTTTATGATAAGAGACGTGGAAATATTTTCTTCTGTCCCAATTTGCAGGAAGACTGTGAAATACCCGCAAAGCATCCTGGGAGTGAAAGAGTAAGCAGAAAAGGTTGTAATTAATTGAAGCTGCAGTCTCTGGGACTCTTTAAGTTTTAATTCCCTTTTTTTGAGTGTTGGAGGAAAAAGAAGAAGCTGAGGTTGGAGTTGCTCAGTATCAGAGTGTGCTTTTCCATTTTTTTGACCCACATGTATCCCAGAATCCCCAGGGTCTCCAGTCAGACCCTTTTAATAAATGTAGTGTTTTTTTATTTCTATGTGCCAAAAATCCAAATTCATTCTTCAGTCTGTGTGGTTAAAGAGGGGGCGTGCCCTTCCACGCTTTGGTTCCCAAAGGTGAGGTTCAGACTGACAGGGGACTCCTCACAGGAGGAGCAGATCTTACAGAAGAGGCTTGAACCTCCAAACAATATCCATCTACAGGGAACCTTAAAAATCACCAACCAGGTTTCTCGCTTCAGCTTTTTTTTTAGATCCGACCAGCGTTTTGTTCACTGTAAGACAACAAATAAAAACCTGCGGTCCTGCTTTCCCAGCATGCCCTAGTCTACCAGACCTCATATGAGTGGATCAGGGGGCAGGGTGTGTTGAATCTGCTGCGGCTGCAGAGGTGGAGGCAGCTGAAGAGGCAGCAGCGCCTCCACCATGTTGTGGCAGTGCGGCGGTGGCGTTCCTTCGCTGCTGGAGCTCTCGGCGACCTCGCCGCCATGGAAGAAGTAGTCGCTCTGCACTATGAAGGACTCCACCACGGCCTGGTTCAGTTTGGTGGTGGAGAGTGTCTCCTTGTTCTCAAAGTCAGGACGCATGAGCGTGGGCCAGAAGCAGATGGAGAGGTTGTCGGCCGTCATCAGTGTGGACTTGCTGTGCTGACTTACTCTACAGATGGAGAAAAAGAAATAAACAGAGTGGTTCAAGGCTAGGTGTGAAAAATATGTTCACCTGCTGTTGCTTTGTTAAATTAATTTGTGAACCATTGTCTCTGCCAAACCAAAGTCCACAGAAAAAAAAAATCAATTAGCAGGTTGGTGGCAGCTGTGAGTCTCCTGCTGTCTGTACTGAAAAAAATGACCAGTGTATACACGTCAACAAATACAACACACTTTGACTTAGTGGATTTACAACTTATGTGTTCTTATAAATTAAAATTAGGGATGTCCATATACTGTTCATAGATATTGGCCGACCGATATTATCGGACCGACATTAGCACATTATGTAATATCTGTAAGAATGGTTATCGGTTTGTCCTCCAATAATGAAAACCCGATAACACAATGCCTGAGTTCGGCCAAATGATGTGCGCCCTAAAAATTGTTTTGGGGATAAACGGCTGTATAGTAAAGTGAAAGTCACCAGATGGCAGCACTGCAGCTCATTAAATTAATCTGATACTTATACAGTGGTCTGTATAGATAAATAAATAAATATCACGAGGCCTATATCGGTATTGGTTGATATTGTAATCGGAAATTAAGTGTTTGGACAATATCGGCATATAGGATACCGGCAAAAAGTTACTGTGGTACATCCCTTGTTAAAATCACGGTTTCTTTATGGACTTTGGTGTGGGAGTGTGGAGCAGTCAGCAGCTGTGCCTCAGTTTCCAGCCTCAGTACAATGACGCTTTGATTAAAGTCTTCACTGATGGGACGTGACATGATAAACAGGTTAACACAAAAGCCTGCAGGTGTGTCCTACGTATTGGTGTGTGTGTGTGTGTGTGTGTGTGTGTTACCTGTTGAGGTGTGTGATGATGTACTTGAAGACCTGGTAGTTCACAGAGGGAAACTTCTTCACAATTTCTCTCAATACCTGCATACGCTCCATATAGTCCACAATTTCTGAGAAAACACACACACACACACACACACACACACACAGACGACACAAGGTTTTACATTTTACACACACTCTTGGGAACAGAAATGATACATTCTGGAAAACAAAAGGCTCTGATGCTTCCAGAGCAGCTCCCACGCTCTGATCAAACACACACACACACACACACACACACACAGACGACACAAGGTTTTACATTTTACACACACTCTTGGGAACAGAAATGATACATTCTGGAAAACAAAAGGCTCTGATGCTTCTAGAGCAGCTCCCACGCTCTGATCAAACACACACACACACACACACACACACACAGACGACACAAGGTTTTACATTTTACACACACTCTTGGGAACAGATATGATACATTCTGGAAAACAAAAGGCTCTGATGCTTCTAGAGCAGCTCCCACGCTCTGATCAAACACACACACACACACACACACACACAGACGACACAAGGTTTTACATTTTACACACACTCTTGGGAACAGATATGATACATTCTGGAAAACAAAAGGCTCTGATGCTTCCAGAGCAGCTCCCACGCTCTGATCAAACACACACACACACACACACACACACACGCACCCACACACACGCACACACACACACACACACAGAGAGATACTTCCAATGCAGTAAATCTTGTTTTTCTACTTACTATTTTTCCAGATATGAAATTTAAAACCTTGTTTTTTAATTCAGACTTCTGCAGTCAAAGTAACATTACATCATTGTCTTCTTTTACTGGTTTTCCAAATTCCAAAACCCTGCTTACAGCACCCTCTGCTGGATCGTGGATGTGCATCTTCCGGACTCAACACTAACTTGGCTTAATTTAACTAATTTAACCTAAATTAATAAAAGCCACATCAAAAGAAATGAGTAAAAATGATGTAGATTTAGAACAACCTACATCCTGAGTATCTAAAAATAATACGATTACCGCAGAAAAAAACTGAATTCCTGGCATAACGGCAGCAGTTTGACCTGGAAGTCTCAGACATTTTTACACCTTAATTTACAACCGAGCACGAGGCGACACACACACACGACCTCTTTATGGTGTGTCTCTGTGGGTTAATGGCTGTTGAAAGGTCAGAGGTCATTGACCCAGACTTCCACTTCTCTACATTACAGAGAATCATTACTGTGATTAAATGAAGGGAACAGGAAGCTCTGCATTTTTCAAACTTATGTCAATGTGTTAGATACACCGTCTGCCGTCACGGCTGAGTGCCACAACGCCACAGGGTAAATATTCAGGCCAAACTTCCAGGAAATAAATGGGTTAAATAATGACATGAAATAGAATGTCTATCTATTTCTAACAGAATGGTCAAAACCAAATCTTTGTGCAAAAGAGCAGATCAGCTGGTGTCAAGCAGGTTATGCATTTATTTATTTTAAGAAAACAATGAATGTTCTATGCTGCCCCCACAACCCCCCGCAATAACCCCATGGGGATGAGGGGGGCCCAACACACTATGGGAAACACTGTATTATAGAGTGAGCCAAAGATGATTCAGCACTTTTTCTCCTGGAGAGGAGCTGCAGAAATATGGGCAAGAAAAGGGTCAGGTTTGAGAAGACTGATTTAAGAGGGGAAAGAATCTAATTTACCACCAACCAAACATGTAGGTACAGAACTACAGGATTATATTTTATGTTAGATGTGAGAACATGTGCTGAACAAGTGTTTTCTTACTTGCAGCGTCCACCAGCTCAGGGTGCAGACTGTAGGGGA